TGGTCTTTATAGTGAGTTTGAGGTCAGAGGGCTTTATAGTGAGTTTGAGTTTGAGGGCTACCTAGAGATACTCTTTGTCATAGGTCCTCAAAAAGAAAAAAGAAAAACAAGCAAAATTCAGTTTCCCAGAGTTTCAGTTACCAGGGAAAACATGCTGGCAGACTGTTTCTGGAGGTCCCTGCCCTTTTCACGGCTCACTGTCTGGTTGCTGTCTTCACGGGTCCTCTGTCGGCATAGACAGGGGAGATACTGCAGGCCCTGGGTGTCTCCATGCAGTAGGAAAGCAGGTCCTGTGGGATCAGCACCTGCACCAAAGACCTCACCAAGCTGAGCCTTAACCACTTCAGGTTCCAACCTGGCCACTGTGTTAGGAGTTGTGGAGGCATTTGGAGGTGGGGGGAAATGGTTGTCACTGCTACTTGAGGATCTGTTTCTAGCCTCAGTCATACTGGATGCCTCATATATTAAGCACACTCCTAGTTACTGGAGTGGGTGCAGGATCTTGCTATTCCAAAGGTCAGGAAACAGACACAACTTGAATGTCCACCAGCCAATAAGCAAATAGTGAAAGTACAGTTTATCTTATTCAGCCAAAGAAGGAATGAGCCGGATGTGGTGATGCACACCTGTGATCCCAGCTTTTAGGAGGCTGAGGCAAGAATTCAAGGCCAGCCTGGAACACATAGCACCTGAAGTACATAGCAAGACCCTGTCTCAAAAGTAGAAGCAAACCATGGACTGGGGATTTAGCTCAGCAGCATAAGCGCCTGCCTTGCAGGCGCACCGTCGTGAGTTCAATCCCCAAACAAAGTAAATAAACAATCTCCCTCTCTGTATAATGTTCCTGACCCAGTCTATGTGTGGTATTCTGACATTAGCAACAGAAAATGGGCTGGGGCCATAGGCAAAGGTCCCCAGGGGCAGGATCATGCTTGGGGTTTGAGCCCAGGACCAAGGCAGTCACCCACAGCCCTACAGGGAAAGGACAGAGGAGGGCTCCATCCACTGCAGAGAGAATTGCTAGACAGAGCAGGTTGGTCCCCTTGGAGCCCCAAAATAGGTGCAGTGGGATAAGAGAGATGTCCATGTGACATGAGCCACCATGTTCTCAAGCCCCACCCACAAGCTCAGGGTGGCAGGGGTGACTGCAGTGGTGTAACTGCCCTCCCTTTGAAGACCATTGAGTTTTCTCATTCATCCAAGGCCCTGGGGGAAGGGGGACAAGAATTGTCATCCTCGTTGCACACAGAGGACACAGAGGACACAGGTTTGTGGTGAGGATTCCGAGGAGGCAAGCGAGACACCCTGCTGGGACTGTCTGTGCTTCCCTTGGCCGGCTGCCACAGAGCCCCACACCCAGCTGCCTGGGGGTCCTTTCCTGGGAGCCCCATGCTGGGCCAGGGAATAAAGGGTGAAGAGCTTGGGAGGAAGGAGAAGTGGACACCCGGGCACACTAAGAGACAAGAGGATTCTCAGTCAACCCTGCAACACAGGGCTGCAGCTCAAACACAAGTGCTTAATAAATCTGAGTTTCAGACAATTCGAGTGACACTCATCCCGAGCATCACTTGTATTTCCACATCTGAGAGCCCCAGGCCCGCAGATGTCTCCAGAGAGCCCACAGAACAGGCTACTGAGGAGGGGCGAAGTCAACTGCACCTTTCTGCTCCTCCAAATCCTGAGTCCTCCTGGTCAGACTTGCCTGGGGATTTGTTAGCTTCTCATCACTATAGTAAATATCGGAGATGATAAGTTTTAAAGAGAAAAGGTGCCAGGCATGGTGGTACATGCCTGTAATCCCAGCACTCTGGGAGGTTGAGGCAGGGGGATTATAAATTCAAGCCCTGCCTGGGAAACTTAGTAAATTTATCAAGACTTCCCTTCAGGAGCCATCTAAGTTTTAGGCTCTAGCAAGGAGGTATAGGCCCCTACATTCGTGGGCTCCACTGCATGGCTCTTCTAGGTGGCCACTGGACAGGCCAGGCCCTCTGAGTCCATTCAGGAAGAACCTGGGCCTGACTCTGCCATAGTCCCTGGTGAGACTGACCTTCCATGAAACAGAGTGACAGGCTGCAATTGGGAGTGGTGACCAAGAAGGAAAGGGAGGGGATATGTAGATATGGCATGGATGACAGAGGAGCCCAAAATTGTATCCAACTTCTTGCTTTCCTTATTTTGACTTTTTGTTGTTTGAGACAAGATCTCACTGTGTAGTTCAGGCTGTTCTTGAACTCACTATGTAGCCTAGGCTGGCCTCTAATTTGTGGCAACTGTCCTGTCCCAGCCTCCTGAGTGCTGGGATTACAGGCCTGTGTACCACCACTCCAACTTGATTTTGGTTTGTTTGATGGTCTAAGTATTAGTGTCTTCTTGCTGGCCTCATAGAATATATCTGTACTGATACTTCACCTCCAAGGTGATGGTTTTGGGAACTGGGCGCTTCTGGGAGCTATATAAGTTGGCTTTCTTGTTGCTGGGACAAAATATCCAAAACCCACAGGTTAAAGGAGGGGAGGTCGATTTAGCTGACGGTTTATATGTGCTCCATATATGGTTGGTGGGCACCACCACCAAGATGGGAGGGCCTGGAAGGAGACAGGTGCTCACCCCATAGCAGCCAGGAAGCAGGTATTCCGGTTCATGATTCCACTGACTAGCCCTTTCCAACTAGACTCATCTTCCTTCAGACACATGAGGCTTGTGGGAGACATTTTAGATCTAAGCCATGACCTGAGACGACTGTCACACAGTGTAGCCTCACTAATGGGATTGGTAGCCTGACAAAGTGGTCTGAGGACTAGGTGTGGTGGTACACACCTGTCAACTCAGCGTTCAGGAGGCTGAGGCAAGAGAATTATGTTAAATCCAAGTCTGAACTATACAGTGAGAACTTGTCTCAGAAAACAAGTTGTCAGTGAAGCTTCAATGTCATAATTTGCTTCTGCACCTCACTTTATAGTATAATAATATTTCTTAATCCATTTCCTGTTTAGAAAAAAAAAAGTATAGCTTGGTGCTATTGTTCACTGAATTTTCAGTGGCTGAGAATATATTATATATATATATACATATATATATATACTTTTTGAGACAGGGTGTCACTCTCCAGTTCAGGCTGGCTTTGAGCTTACTTTGTAACCCAGGCTGATCTGGAATTTGGAATGATCCTCCTCAGCTTCTCGAGTCCTGGGTTACATGCATGCACCACCACACCCAGTTTATTATATATAATTGTTTGGTTCATTTCTTTCTATTTTTTCTTTTCTTTCTTTCTTTCTTTCTCTTTCTCTCTTTTTTTTTTGGCACCACCACACTGGGCTGCTGTAGGCTCATGAGTGAGAGCCTAGCACATTTGGCTCATCCCTCTCTTTTTTGAGGCACTAGGTATTAATCCAGGGCCTATCCACTGAGCTACATTCCCAGACTTTAACTCATGACCTAGTGCTTGTCAGGCAGGTGATTTTACTGCTGAGCTAAATTTCCAGCCCTAAAATGTTTTTATTTTATTTGAGACAGGCTCTTGTTAATGCTGGGTTTGTATTTATAACCTTCCTGTCTTCCTTCCAGAGTTCAGGGTTTCCAGGTGTTCACCACTGTTCTCTTGGTGTCATTTAAAGAAATTTGTTACTGGATGTTGATCTCACCCAAATAATCTAGGTGATCTCATCTTGAGATCCATGATGTACAAAAATCCTTCCCCAAATCAAGTTGCAGTCACAAGCCAGGCATAGTGGTCTAGGCTTGTTGCCCCAGCACTGGGGAAGCTAAGGCAGGAGTATTGCCATGAGTTCAAGGCCAGCCTGAGATACATAAAGAGACCACCCTGAACTACATAGTAAAACCTTGTCTCAAAAAAAAAAAAAAAAAAAAAAAAGAAAAGAAAAGTCACAGTTACACGTGCTGCAATGGAGGTCTTTTGTTTACCCACTACAGGAGTGAAGAAGGATTTCAAGATTTTGGAGTGGAACGACCAAAAGAATGGGGTTCTTGGGAGCCAGACAAGAAACGAATATGACAAGACAGAGATTAGGGGGCTGGGGATTTAGCTCAGTGGCATAAGTGCCTGCTTTGTAAGCAGGCAGTCGTGGATTCGATCCCCGGTACCGATAAAAAGGAAAGAGACCAAAAAAAAAAAAAAAGACAGAGGTTAGCTGTGTTCCAGATTTGGATGGATGGAGACAAATCCAGGATCTCTGTTCTTTTTGTGTGAAATTGTGACAATTATCATTCCTTAAGCATTCCTTAAAGTAGGGGCAAATGGAGACAATCAAAAGATGTGGTATAGGGGCTGGGGATTTAGCTCAGCGGCATGAGCGCCTGCCTTGTAAGGACGTGGTCGTGAGTTCAATCCCTGGTACCAACAAAAAAAAAGATGTAGTATAAAAGTGCACAGTAAGTATAATGGCCCACACTCCCATTCTCTACATTCATCTAATAACATTGTCTCCAGCCAGGCATGGTGGTATACATCTGTAATTCCAGCACTTGGGAGGCTGAGGCAGGAGGATCACCAGGAGGTGGAGACCAGCCTGGGCTACATAACAAGACCATGACTCAAGAAACAAAAAAGGAACACCTCATCCACCCACCTAACACAGAAACGCCTTCACTACTTGGAGATTTCCACTTGGGGTTAATCCTTTTCAACAGCAAGTTTTGTGGGTTCTGCACAGTGGGGTATCCAGTAGGACTACTTGGTTGAGTGATCAGGGCTTTCGCGAGAGGGACAATGTTGTCAAGCTAGTTTCCGCTAGGCTTCTCTCCTCTAGCATCATTTATTCTGGGGTAAAGGGATGGCTGAGAAAGCGTTCACGGGTCCAATATGGCGCTGTCCTGATCTTGATGGTGGTCTCAAAAATGGCAATCTCCACATGGGGGCAGACATGTTTAGAACACGTGACCCAATCCTAAACTCGGGGAGGCCGGAAAATGACGCAAGGTTGAGGCGGAGCTACGCCCCCGCCCCCTGGCGTCCAGAGTCTCGTGACAAGCACTTCCGCTCGGGGCGGCGGCAGTGGCGGAAGTGGGAGCGGGGCCGGAGTCTTGGCCATAAAGCCTGAAGCGGCGGCGACGGCGACGGCGGCGGTGTTGGAGGTTAGGAGCACGCGGCAGAGCCTTTGAAAATTGGAACTTGGCTTTCCCTGCCCCAGCCCTCCGTCGTCTCCTTCTCGGCGGGAGCTCTTGCGACCCACCCGGCCCGGAGTCTCCAGCGCAGCGGCCGCGGTAAGCAGCGGGCCCAGCTGGGCCCCATCCCCCGCTCGGCCCCTCTGGCGCCGGGGCCTCGCGCCCTCCTCGTCTTCGGTTTGCTCGTGGTCTGGCTTGCGCCCCGCGGGGAACCTTGGAGTCTCTCAGGATTCTATCTGATTCAGACCTGACCGCCCCGGTCGGGAGAGGTTAGAGGTCGCCGGGCTTGACCTCCTCCCGAGTTGCAGCCTCCAGACCTCAGATTCTGGTCGCCTTGTTTACTGGTGGCGTCGAGATCGGGGCCCAGGAGGATGTCCTGACTCGGCCGCTCTGGCCAGTTGGGGTGTCAGCACCGTCCCCGCCCGCCGCGGTGTCGCGGATCGCAGACGCCGGGGCAGACGCCCAGGACTGAGCCACCGTTCATCCCCTGTGAACTGCCTGACCCTGTTAAGGGCGGAGGGTCGCTGGCGACCTGTGAGGGTCTGGCTGTGAGTCGAGTCCTGGCTGGATTCGCCCCCAGACACTTGTGTCCTGTGAAGCGCCGCAGCCCCGCGAGACAGGGAATCTTTGTCACAGTATGGACAGCAAATCCTGAGAGAAGTTTCCAAAGTTAATAGGGGAAGATGGTAGTGGGTTGCAGAGCTGTGTTTGGATTCCGGCCGCCTTGGCGACCACGAGGTGCATTCAGTTCAGGCTGGGTACCTAAGGATTCGTGGAAGTGGTAAACTTGTAAGAACGGTGGCAAAGACCTGAGTATTTTTGTATGCCGGGCAGCTCAGCAATATCTTTACCCATTGTTATGTTTAGTTCTCTGACGAACTCGGGTACTGTAGTTGTGCCCTCTTAGAAGTTGAGAACTTGAAGAATACAGAGATTAAGTTATTTGTTCAAGGTCAGGCCGCTGGTCAGTACAGAGCAAGAGATTCAAGTCCCAGGACCTTGTTTCCAGGGCACTGTACCCACAGCCTTTGGATTGAACTTCTTTTAACTGCCCCTAAAGCTTTGGATTTATTTTTTACCCACTGGTGTCTATCACCTCTGGTATCCCACCTCTTTCCAGTGATGACTTTTAAGAGCCCATCTGCCTTAATTAGTTCTACCTTAAAGCTATATTTATTTGCAGTTGGGGCTTATAAGTCATGATACTGTAGTGTAGTACTACCATGTGAGAGGCTCTCAAATTCTGGCAGAGGATTTGAGATTTTGTTTTTTGTTTTTGTTGAAACAGGGTCTCACTAAGCAGTACAGCCTGGCTTTACCTCGATATGTAGCCCCATGCTGGCCTCAAACTCACAGTAATCCTCCTGCCTCAGCCTCCTGAGTGCTGGGAATGCTGGGATTGCAGGTGTGCCCTGCCATGCCTGGCAGAATTTGAAATTTTGAAAGTTTTCACTATCTAAATTGTTTCTAAATTGAGTTAGCTCTGGCAGACTTGCCATGTGAACCTTCCCATTCAGCAACAGTTGATGGGTGGTTCTTCCCTATTGAATCTTTGGATTCCAAAAGAACAGTCTCTTGTTTCTTCCTTGTGACTTAAACAGCTGATCAGCCACATGACTTTTCATCCTTGATTAATAAGTCTCCTGTTACTGTGTTCCTGTCTTCAAACTTCAGATGAGTCTTTGACTGGAAAGTGAGTTACGAGTGCTTGTGAAGATAGTGCTTTCATGCCTGTTGTGTTCTAGCTAGTCTGTGTTTGTTTTATTTCATTTTACTTTGCTCGTTGATCTGGTACATGTGAGTAACTAATGAGTGCTGCAGGCTCGCTTGTTTGCTTTTGGAAGAGCCTGATGGTGAGTGCCTTTGCATTCATTCATGAAATGTTTTGTCTACTCTGCATGTGTCAATGAGGTCAGCATGGTTCCTGTGCTTAAGGAATTGTAAAATGGTGAGTGATCATGGCCATTGTGGAATAACTTGGCAACAAAACTTGAGGCATCTGGAAAGAGGAGTTATTTCTCCTCCATTGGGGTCAGTAAAAAGTCTAATTGGGAAATTTTGTTTATGTTAACAGCATTTGTATGGTGTGTTCTTAAAAGAGAACAGAAGATGATAGTACCATTTCTGATAATTATGTCTCTGGTTTTTTTTGGCTTTTTTTTTTTTGGAGACAGGGTTTCATTATGTAGTTCAGGCTGACCTTGAATTCGGTGACCCTCCTGCCTCAGTCTCCCAAGTGTTGGAATTACAGGTGTGCGCCATCATGGCTGGCTGATTTTTTTTTTTTTTTCTTTTGAAGAGTAACCTTCCACAAACTTCTCTTTTTGCTTTAGTGGCATTTTTGATCACTCAAGAGGAAATCTGTGACACTGTCATTACACTGCACTGCAACGTCTTCGAGCAGAGACACATTTGGCATGCTGTGTTTTTCTTCAGCTGACAAGAGAACTTACTGTGGCAGCTGCCAGTCACAGTATCAGTACTGTCTTAGGAAAGATCCAATGCTACCCAGTCTCCAGGTTGTTTGGGTTCCTTCTGTAAAGGAGGATTTGTATTTTACGTTTTTGTTAGAGTTACATGGGGAGGCAGAAGGTGCAGTTTAGCAGAAGGCACTCTAAAAATAGTTTATTAGTATCACCTTCAGGTAATTGCTAGGGCTAATTTCTTTTTTTTTTTTCCCTTTTGTGCCAACTGTGTCTCCTAATCAAACCCCTTAAGCCCTACAATCAAAAGAGCAGTGCCTTCAAGTGCAACTCCTGAGTCTGACTCCACCAAGTGAAATACAAAGCTTCGGTTATTCGATTGGCTTGTTAATCAGTCTTCAAAAGATCTGCACTATTAACATTTCATTTTATTTTTTTGTTTTTTGAGACAGGGTTTCACTATGTAGCCCAGGCTGGCCTGAACTCAAGACATTTTAGCCTATACGCTGGGAGTTAAATTTTTTTGTTTTTGGTTGTATTGGCAGTTGAACCAGTGCCTGGTACATGGTAACGAAGTTCTTTACCACTGAATATTTCTCTAATCCCATTTATAAATTTTATTTGTTTGTTCGTTTTTGTTGAGACGGGGTCTCTTCTTGCAGTGCAGGCTGTTTTGAACTCAGTGATCCTCCTGCCTCAGCCTTCTGAGGGCTAGGATTACAATTGTATGCCACTGCACCCAACTAAAATTTTTATTTTGAGGCAGGGTTTTGCTAAATTGCTCAGGTTGACCTCAGCTTTACAATCTTTTGCCTCAGTTTCCCACGTAGCTTGGATTATAAGTGTGCTCACTCCACCATGCCCTCTGGTGTTAACCATTCAGTGCTCAAGTGAAACAAATCTAGACCTCAAACCTCAGGAGTGACAGTTGCCTTATCACACTGGTACTCTTTGGAATTTGAAATATATATATGTGTATATGTATATATATATATGTGTGTGTGTGTGTGTGTGTGTGTGGTACACACACACACACACACACAAAACCTTTTTTCCTGTGATAAATGGCCCAAGGTTCCATCCATACAAACAAGCATTTAAAGCTGGGGTTTATTTGCCTCATAGTGGCTGGGAGCCATGGGCAGACTCTTCTTGGGCATGTAGGTGGTGGGAGGAGTCCTGAGATAGAGGTTGACCGATGACCCTAAACAGTGTGAGGTTGACCATGCAGACTGCTGTCTTGCCTCCTGGCTGCTGCTGACACTGCCATTGGAGGCTGCCTTGGTGTTCCTGGGCACCCCTTCTTTGTGTCATCACACACCTGTCTGGGAGTGTCATCTAATAGGGCTGTGCCTGCCGTCTGCAGTTGCTGCAGGAGCATTTATTTTGCAAGGTGTTACCGCTTCAATTATTGACTCACATCTTTCCTGGGTTGTTTTTGTTCCTTTCATATGGCATTAAAGGCTAGAAAAGTTTCTATTTGTGTTTTATTTATTTTTATTTTTTTGGTGCTATGCTTTATTCAAATGAAAGGTGAAAAACTACACTGATTCAGGAAATAGCAAATATGACAGACACCATTTTACAGCATAGCATCCTTTTTTTTTTTTTTTGTCTTTTTGAGACGGGGTCTCACTATGCAGTTCAGACTGGCCTTAAGCTCACTTTGTAGCCCAGGCTGGTCTCGAATTTGCAATGATCCTCTTGCCTTAGCCTTCCAATTACAGGCCTGTACCACCACGCCCGGCTTACAGCACAGCATCTTTTTAAAAACCGGTAAGCAATGCTCTAAGAGTGGACAGATACGTGCACCATGCACTGTATGTTGCCCAACAGTGTCCATGAAGTCAGAATTAAGAGCTAATTTTGGCTTTAAGCAGCCAAATAAAACCTGTAACAGTCATTCTAAACAAAACTGGAAAATCAAGAGGAATCCATTTATGTTTTAAAATGTAAATTTACTCAGTTTCTGAATGGTGTCTGGGGACAGTCATCTGTGAGTGAAAGGTAAAGGTGATTGGTATAGTAAAGGCAGAACAGTCTTCTTAGTCTCTGTGACTGGTTTCAGTTTTCATAATCAACTGATTCCAAAAAACAAATTTAAGAATAGCTACTTGCAAATGTCTCCTTGGGGGAGGAAGAAAGCCTGGGAGTTGGTCCAGTGGTGACAGCAGCCTAGGCAGGGCAGCTCATTTGCTGGAAGACCAGTGAGCGCATCAGGCCTTGTCGCCCTCGCCAAGGCTTTCTGTTTAGATGACGTCACCACTGCTGATGCTCGGCCTGCATGATTCTGTTGTCCCTTTCCCTGTTGCCTCAGCCTGGGGCAGACTGCTGTTAGCACAAAGCTGGCCCGGGGACTGGGCCAGTCCTAGGAATTGTGTATGGTTGCAGCCTCAAGAGGGGTAGGTTATGTGCCTGCTGGGAGCTGCCTGCTGGCGTGAGTGCTGGAAGGTCTCATTGCCAGCCCTCTGAGAGACCTTCCTGTCTCCCTGGGTGATAACTCTCACTTCAGAGGAGCCCTAAGGAATTACTGCATAAGGCAGATCCTTCCTTCCCTAGTTTCCACTTTGTGTGTCAGTCAGTGTAATTGTTTAAAAGTTGATTTCCAGTTGATAAAGTTTTGAATTTGAGCCTGCATAATGACAAAATGTCTTACAAACCTAGAAGCCCCCTTGT